GACACCCGTGGCTGGGACCACCTATACTCTTTTCTGGACAGTGGCCTTACTAGAGCCCGTGGGGTAGTACAACAGGTACACAGTAACTCATACAGTCACAAAGAAGTGATACCAGATCTCTTTCTGAACCCATGCACAGTTCTGCAATGACTGCAAAAGAACAATCTGCAATGATGCACACAGAGGCCAACCTGACATATCTCCAATTAATAATTCATCCCCCTAACAAGGCAAGGGTATTCTGCCTCCGCCCTGAACAAGAGAAGGCATTTTTAGTCACTTTGCAAACCTGTTCAAAAGATTAGATAATGAGTTCAAAATCACTCTGGAGAAGATGTTGGAGACTCAGCATGAGCTGACTGACGTATTACAATCTTCAATCTCCTCCAAGATTGCCCTACACCACTTTTATTTGACAAGCACACTAAAAGCTAGTTTACTAGAAAGATGTCAGTGATAGAGCCAGACAGTCTTTGATCTCAAGAATCTGTTAGAGTATAGTTCTTCTTCGAGTGCTTGCTTATGTGCATTCCATTTAGAAGTGTGCACTGTGTGCATAAGTTCCAGAAGCTTTTTACCCTAAGCAGTACCCATTGGGCCAGCTTGTGATTCCCTTGTAGCGGGGCTCTATATTGGCTCATATATAGCCCTGCTGGCTCCTCATTCCCTCAGTTCCTTGGTGGAAGAGGTCCCCGAACTGTCTATGTTCAATGCAGCATGTGAGCTAATCGAGCTCACATCCTCACCAGGCCCAGCACCACGCAAAGAAGTCTCCCATATGCGTTCCCATAAGGACAGGCAGCTGGCACCCAAGCCCATGGCATTGAGGACTTCCTCACCAGCACCGTCCATTGTGCCTCTGGCTCCACCAGCGGCTCTGCCCCAGGTTCCAGTACTGGTTCCAGCACTGGCACTGAGTCACTCTGTGCAGGGTGTTGGCCTGGGATAATCTCATCCCCCAGAGCCCACACCAGGGCCTCTGACCTGGTACCAAAGAAAACCAACAGCCGTGGCACATCACCATGGTTGGCACTAGACACCAGTGGCGCCACCATGGTAAGCATCTGAGTATTCCTCGGAGTCGGATGTAGAGTTGAATGGCATCCAGAGCATCCTTTCACCAATCTCTTAGGTCTCCGTTCCGGTCCCACTCACAGCACCAGTCGTGCTCGAGCTGCCACTCGAGGCATGTCAGCCTGCCTTCAACACAGACATGACCACCGCAATGACAGCCTCCGGCCCAGTGGCCGTTTTGGACCCCATATGTGTACCACCAGGGACAGGGGGTGTCAAGATCATCTTTGGCATCTGCTTCAGCATATTTGTACCCCAGGGGCACCCTGTTGGCTACCCTCCTCCCCATGGCTCTGGCCTTAGAGAGCAGTACCAGTCCCCCCAGGAGGATCAGCAAGGCCTCAGATAGAGCCAGACCCCCCCCTTCGACTGTCACAGAGAGGTTCCCTTGTCCTCACCCTTCCCCAGGTTGGCAGGGGGTACACCCAGAGGAGCTGCCAATTCCTAGGGACTCTTCTTTCTCTTTCTCTTTGGATGAGGTGCTACCCTCAGTTTAAAGGATGTATAATTTCACATTTCCATTATTCCCTCCCACAGGAGATTCCTACATTTTACAGTTGGGAAGGAACACTATGACTACGTCTACATTGGCATCCCTTTCCAGAAAAGGGATGTTAATGAGACGAGTCGGAATTGCAAATCTGCGGGGGATTTAAATATCCCCCGCGGCATTTGCATTTACATGGCTGCTGCTTTTTTCCGGCATGGGGATAAGCCGGAGAAAAGTGCCAGTCTAGACGCGATTCTCCGGAAAATAAGCCCTTTTCCGGAGGATTTCTTATTCCAACTTTCAAGTAGGAGTAAGAAATCCTCTGGAAAAAGGCTTATTTTCCAGAGAATCGTGTCTAGACTGGCGCTTTTCTCCGGCTTATCCCCAAGCTGGAAAAAAGCGGCAGCCATGTAAATGCAAATGCCGTGGGGGATATTTAAATCCCCCGTGGATTTGCAATTCCGAAGTGTCTAATCTGCATCCCTTTTCTGGGGTCCTTCCCTATGTCCTATCCACTGCCCCCAGAATGTTCATTAAGTGTATGGTGGTGATGGCAGCCACCCTGCTCAGAAGGGAGGGAGTGTAGGTCTTCCCCTACCTTGATGACTGGCTCATCAGGGGCTATAGTCCTGTGGAACCTTTGTATCGCACAGGGAATTCACTTTCAGGCCTCTTACCTGCCGGGAACCTGCAATGTCCTGGCGGACTAGCTCAGAGGGTCATTTGCAACTCACAAGTGGCCCCTCAGGGAGGATGTAGCCCAACAACTCTTCCACAGGTGGAGAACTCTCCACCTAGACCTGGTCGTCTCAGACACCGACAAGAAATGCAGTTGGTTCTGTACCTACCTGAACCACTGCCCAGGGATGATAGGAGATGCCATGTTAATTCAGTGCCCCCCCCATCTCTTGTATTCCTTTCCTTCCTTCCCCCTCATACACGAGGTTCTCCTAAGGGTGCAGAGGTATAGGGCATCGATGATTCTGGTAGCCCCGGCCTGGCCATGGCAACACTGGTACAATTCTCTGGTGCTTTCTTGGTAGAGGACCTGATCACCCTACCATGCTTCCAGACCTTTTAACTCAGGTTCTAGATTGGGGTCATCTGTGCCATCCGAACCTATAGTCCCTTTACATAATGTCCTGGAAGATCGTGGCTTAAAAGTGGAGAACTCCTCTGCTCAGATCCGGTCCAGAGAGTGCTTGTGGAAAGCAGGAAGCCTTCTACTAGGATGACCTAGGTAGCCAAGTTGGAAGTGCTTCGGGGCTTGGGCAGCCTAAAGGAGTGTGGACCCTCTTCGGGTGCCTGTTCCTGTCATCCTGGACTATCTGCTCAATCTTAGGCATCAGGGATTAGCCACTTCTTCGATGAGGGTGCACCTCACATCTATTTTGGCATTCCACCCTGAAGATCTGGGTGGGTCAGTGTTTACAAATGCCATGTTTAATCACTTCCTTAAGGGCACGGAGAGATTATACCCTCACATTAGGCAACCCATACCTCAGTGGAATCACAGGTCTCATGTGTCGCCTCTTTGAGCCTATAGCTCCTTGTCTCACCTCTCTTGGAAGATAGCCTTCCTCGTGGCCATTTTGTCATCCAGACAGACTTTGAAATTGAGAGCCTTTACATCAGAGCCCCCTTATACTGTGTTCTTCAAGGTTAAGGTGAAGCTGCTCCCATACCTAGCTTTTTTGCCTAACATGGTGCCCCCCATTCCACATGTCACAGGACATCTTTCCACTGGTCTTTTATCCAAAGCCCATGCAGACCAGAAAGAAAAGGCATTACACTTGTTAGATGTAAGGATTACACTTGTGTTTGTGTAGATTACACTTGTGTTTTATTTAGACAGGACAGAACAAAACCATTCTGCAGGTCCACACAGCTTTTCATCTCCATAGCAGATTGGATGAAAGGCCTGCTGGTAAAAGCACAGTGCTTGTCCTCATGGATCATGGCATGTATTAAGGTTTGCTATGACCTGGTAGGGAAATTGGCCTCTCCCATCACTGCCCAATCCAAGAGGTCTCAGGCTTTCTCTACGGCCTTTCTAGCTCGGGTACCAATCCTAGACATCTGCAGGGTGGCTACCTAGTCATCAGTCCATACCTTTACCAACCACTATGCGATTGCTCTGTAGGCTAGAAAGTTATATCATTTTTTGAGGAGTAATGTTAGTTCGAACCAAGGGGTTTGGTTCGAACTAACGCATCCCGGCGCGCACTTTCTTGTTTGAATCAGCTGTTGAACGTAGTAACGTGCCAGTGAGATCATGCTAACGAAGCGTGGGATATTTAAATCCCCGCTTCATTAGCAATTTCGGTATCCTACATTTGCATTCCTAGCTCAAACTAGGGAGCAAGTGTAGACATACCCTTACAGTCTATTTCCTCTTCGTGGTTACAGCTTGGGAGTCACCTAAATAGAATGGCCATAAAGAAGTATTCGAAGAAGAAAAAATGGTTACTTATCTCAAAACTGTTCTTCGAGAAGTGTTGCTTAGGTCCATTCCAAATCCCAACCACCTCCCCTTCCTTGGAACGTCTGGCAAGAAGGAACTAAGGGGATGAAGGGCCAGCAGGAGTATATATGTGCCATAATAGTAGCACCACTCCAGGGGCACCCAGGCTGGTCCAACAAGTACTGCTAAGGATAAAAAGCATCTAGAACTTGTGCACGCAGCGTGCACACCTAAATGGAATGGACATAAGCAATACATCTCAAAGAACAACAGTTATGAGGTAAGTAATCATTTTTTATGTAGACTTTACCTATATACAAATACATGTCATGTTAATATTCTTGATAAAGTTATCTATTGATAGATGTAAACAATAAAATGATATTTTAAATGGGGAGCACACAAATAAATGGCCATTTAAAAAGAAATTAAAAATAGAAATAGGTCCATATTTTAAAAGATGAAAGAACAGTTGTAAGCTGCTGTTGAAAAAAACAGAATTAGGAAGAGGCCTAACCAGAATAATAGTTTCAAGGAGAGGTTTAAAATAAAAACCAGAAATTTTGAATAAATAGAATATGCTTCCTTTTTTTTTTTTATAGCTTCAGGGGGTAGCCACGTTAGTCTGTACAGGATACATTTTAAAAACAAAAACTGATCTGGTAGAACTTTATAAACTAACAAAACATATAGATGGCATAAGGCGCTTTCATGGGTATATCCCACTTCTTCAGATGACCAGAGTTTAGAAAAAGGAAGATGCAAGTGCTTTAATATTAAATTTAAAAAAATCCTCCGATAGTTTGGAACATTCAAATTATGGAGACTCTTCGACATAATGTCAGTGCATAAACTCATTAACCTCACTCCTTCTGATTGCTTATTATTGCTTATTGTTTAAATGATAGAAATAATAGTAAAAGCAATTGCTAGATTTAAATGTATATTTAATTAATTTATTTTTCCTCTCAGTGGAAAGCCCATGATGGAATTATTTTAAAACTTGATTGGAATTCAGTCAATGACCTTATCCTATCTGCTGGTGAAGACTGTAAATATAAGGTGTGTATTATTTAACTTTAATTACAGTGGGTTAAATTATTTAAATAAATGTTTTTAAAGCAGGATCTGAGTAACAATACTAGGCACTACTAATATTCTCCAACCTTCACAAGACCTTCAAATTCAAAACCAATTAGATAGAAAAATTTCAGTGCAATTAGAAGCTTCTCAGTTTTCAGGAAATGGAAGGTACACTGAATGAAAATATTCCTAGCACATGTGAACGTAATACTGTTTCAAATGGGACTACATCAGTGCTTGCTAGGTACCTTTTAAACACAACAGCAAGTTTTATATGGAGCAATTAGAACACAACACTCCAGAGCACTGTACTTTGTTCTCCTCAAGTATGCATTTCTGTACCATGTGAACAAGCCCTGGCTACCGAAGGCATATTAAGACTATGATATGAACTAAGAAAAGTACAAGAAAATACAATTAAACGGAAAACACAGTTTGTCCTGTCATCTAAATGCAGGATAGTTCTGTAGGAAAATTGTGTAGACAGCACACTGTTCTCTGTCAGTAATAGAAGACACGGTTTTTTCCCCTTTAATTGTGGACTTATGTTCATTATTTGGTATCTGAATTCTAATATTCATTTGTGTGCTGTGATTTTTTTAAAAGTCTTTTCAGTTATATAGCTTTTCTGTTTAAATCTTCTCTCATATTTTTGCATACAGTGAATAGACTTGCTATTAATATACTAGTTACAATGGCTCAGATTATTCCCTCTTTAGAATAAGGAACTGTCAAATAATCTATCTGAACCTGGCAAATACCTAAGAAATGACAGGCGTCCAACAGCCATCTTCAGCCAAAACCCCATACCACTGCTATCTCTCTGACTCCATAAAGAGGGGGATTGATGTGCAAATATATCCCCATGCCTGTCATGTTCTCCCGCAACTCACACATTCCCAACTTCTCCTAAATTCTTTTCTATTTTCTGCACAGACCTGGGGTTCTTGAGTGAGTCTGAGACTGGGGAACTGTGCAGATGAAGGGTATGATAGAAGAGACAAGGGAAGAGGAGATGTGCATGTGGATGATCTCTTTATGTGGTTCTTAAAGGATATCAATTGGGCCAATAGATTTTAATTACTCTTGTTTTATTTTTAAAAAATGTCTATTTTTGTCATAAGCATATTGTACATCAAAATAAAAATTTAAAAAGCTCAAATTTGATATAAAGAAATTAGAGAGACAAGATATGCAAGGTAATATAATTTAATAGGCCAACTTCTATTGGTGAAAGAGACACTTTTGAACTACACAGTACTCTTCTTCAGATCTGAGAAAAGTAGTCAGTGTCAAAGCTAAATGCAAGGTGGAATAAATTGTTTAGCATAAATCGTTTACACACATTATAAGAAACCATTTGTTGTAATTACAAAGAAATGACATTTGATAGGAAAAATTGGTGGAAAATGTAAGAAATATTTAAATTTTGTCTGCTATATTTGCCACTGTATAGGAGGGAAAATAGAAGTAAAATGATAATTTAAAGAAGTGACTGTCATTGAAATGAGGATTAGTAATATTCTGTGACCATTTCATTGATGAAATAAATGAGAACTGAGAAGAAGAAAGAAGAAGAGAAATTAAGAATACACTGAACTATAAAGAAAAAGAAAGGAGAACTAAAATATTTGTCTAAAATGTGTTAACAACCCAATATAACCTCAAATGCTTTTCCTACTCTACAAAAACTATTAGGCTACGTCTACACTGGCATGATTTTCCATTAAAAGCATTTTCGGAAAAGCGCATCTAGATTGGCAGGATGCTTTTCCGCAAAAGCACTTTTTGCGGAAAAGCGTCCGTGGCCAATCTAGACGCGCTTTTCCGCAAAAAAGCCCTGATTGCCATTTTCGCGATCGGGGCTTTTTTGCGGAAAACAAATCTCTGCTGTCTATACTGGCCCTTTTGCGCAAAAGTTTTTCAGAAAAAGACTTTGCCCGAACGGGAGCAGCATAGTATTTCCGCAAAAGCACTGTCAATCTTACATGAGATCGTCAGTGCTTTTGCGGAAATTCAAGCGGCCAGTGTAGACAGCTGACAAGTTTTTCCGCAAAAGCAGATGATTTTGCGGAAAAACTTGCCCATCTAGACGCAGCCTTAAAGTTCAGCCTGAGCAAAGAAAAACTTTAAAAAGAAAAATTATGAAAGGACTTTTTTAGCTATTGCTCTCATTTCAAAAACATATTTTTAAACCAATCTAAGATCCGTTTTAGAAATAGTTTTAAATCTGTGTAAAATTATATTTTTATCATTTTACAATTCCGTATAATGAAAACTTAATTTGTATTTTGATTACTTAATAGAAAAACTCATGTATATGAAAACTTTTATAAGCATCTAAGGTACTTACTTATTAATGCATAAAGTATTCTTGCTGGCATTCTGCTTGCACTGTCATTGGAGGTTTCCAAATTACATATTTCACAGAGAACTTCATTATCTTTTTATAGAGAAAAATAACAATATTTTTCATAATTTTAAGATTCATCTGTAAGAGTCACTTACTTCACACAAACAGCTTGGGAAATGAGATGGAAATACTTACCTTTCACATATTCTTCATTTCAGAAGACATCACTCATTTTAGTCCCAAAGTTACCTATGTTCCACACAAATTTGTCATCCACTTGCTAGTAGTGAAAAATGTTTACAACAAAAATAAAGAATCATGACATTGAGGTAACAGGTTATTTTACATTACAGGAGTAAATCCCAAAGCATTTTAAGTTTTTTACATGCATAATTTCTTCTGTGCCTCATATTCTCCTCTCTTTTTGGGTTTCAGCAGGTTGCAAGGCATTTGAGACTATAGAGCCATAAAAATTCTGTTCTCTGTCCCCTGGCTTGACTTGCTGACTGGCTGCTTATAATTAATATTTTATAATTGATATTACTATATAAATAGAATGATGAAAAACTATTTAGGAAACATACAGGTTTAGGAAAAACATACAGTAATTTGCCAAGAAACAACTACCGGTAATTAATAGCGCAGATTATGGATATCAATGCCAGGTTGAACCTCTCTAGTCTGGAATTCTTGGGACCTGACCGGTTCCGAACAAGAGAATTTTCTGGACTACTAGAGGTCAGTATTATCTAGCAGCATTACCAATGCTTCCACTGATTGCGGGGCTGGTAGAGGACGTTTAGAAGTAAATTAAAACTAAATAACAGCACAGTACACTGAAAGCTGAGACCAACTGTATGGGACCGTGGGAAATTTGGCCACGTCCATGAAGAGTGGACAGCTGGCTAACTAAAATCATTCTGGACAATGGATGTTTCTGGATCAGGAAGTTTTGGATTAGAGAGGTTCAACCTGTATACTATTTCCTATATTTTAGCAAAACAAATCTGACTTCAGGTAAAAATTATTTTTGTGACAAGCTTGTTTTCCAACTTGATGGAGGAGAATGCATTAGAATAACAGAAATAGAAATCTGATTTTACAAAACATTTGTAGCTACAAAATCTTGAGATGATACACAAAAGGGTCCAACCTTGCGGTCCAGAATTGACTTAATTGGAAACTGGATATGCACAGTATGCAGGATTGGGCCCAGCAATTATTTTATGTATATACTGTAAACATACGCACATACAAAAATCTGACTTTTAAATGCATTAGATATCCTTTTAATGTAGCAATTTGTTTAAAAAAATAAATGTGTTTCTATAAATTAAAATATTTTCAGCTGAGGAAATGATGCCTGTAAAATATGAAGGATATGTACAAAATAAATTCAGACTAATTTATTTTTTCTTTCTTAGGTGTGGGATAGTTATGGTCGTCTACTGTACAGCTCTCAGCCTCATGATTATCCTATAACTTCTATTGCCTGGGCTCCGGATGGAGAATTATTTGCTGTGGGGTCTTTTCATACTTTGCGCCTTTGTGATAAAACTGGGGTAAGTAACAACTCTGACAAAGAACAGATATAGTGTTGAGCAAATTTATTAAAATATAGTTAAGTATTTCAGAGAACACACATAAGCATAATTTCATTTGTACAGAATAGTCCTGACTTCCCCTGAGTGCTTCTGACGAAGTGATTGTGTCATTTGTCTATTGTATTTGTCTCTGTATTTAGTGTTTTTTTGTGAACACTTTACAGTATTGTGGGGGGGTCAGCTAATTCTAATATAGAATATATCATTCTTTCTTCACACCATTGATTGTTACACCTTCATTATTTTTATGCTTCACAAATATATTTTTCAGATTCTTTACCAGATCAGTGTATAATTCTTATTATTTACCTTCTAAAGATATGAGTAGTCCTGTAGCAATTTATAACAGAAAAAGAAGGTTTTTCCTTTTTTCTCCATTCTCATCTGAGGAAGTAGGTTTTGCCCACAAAAGCTCATGATACTAATATATTTGTTAGTTTCTAAGATGCTACAGGACAACTTGTTTCTTTAAAGTTACAGACTAACATAGCTATCCCCTGAGGCTTATAAAGATACTATCTACTTTGGAGTTTCATTCTGGCTTCTCATTCTTCCATAGCTAGACAGAGTAGGTAATGTATGTGTGTCACCATTCTGGAGGACATACTTCCATGCTGATTATTCTTGTTTAAAAAATAATGTGTTAATTCAATTTGTGACTGAACTCCTTGGGAGAGAATTGTATGTTTCTTGTTTTGTTTTACTTGCATTCTGCTGTATATTTCATGTGTTAGAAGTTTTGGAGGATGACCCAGCGTACGTTCATTTTAAGAACACTATCACAGCAGATTTGGCAAAATGCAAAGAAGGTACCAACCTGAAATTTCTAAAAATAGCTACAGCACTCAAATGAAGGTTTAAGAATCTGGAGTTCTGTCCAAAATCTGAGAGGGACAAGGCGTGGAGCATGCTTCCAGAAGTCTTAATTAACAGTGTAACACTCCAGTACGGAAACTGTAGAACTGAACCACCAATGGCTACAAGTGTCATGCAAACTCCTGTTCTCATTTTCAGGGGACATTGTAAATAAGAAGCAAGCAGCATTATATCTTGTAAACAGTTGTATTTGTTTTAGTGATAGGTTGAACAAGAAGTAGGACCAAGTGGATTTATAGGTTCTAAAGTTTTACATTGTTTTGTTTTTCAGTGCAGTTATCTAACCAAAAAATGTCTACATTTGTAAGTTGCACTTTCACAATAAACAATTTACACTACAATACTTGTATGAGGTGAGCTGAAAGATACTACAGGTAGAACCTCTCTCATCTAGAACTCTCTCGTCCAGAAATATCTGTCATCCAGAATTATTTTATTTAGCCAGATTTCCACTTTTCATGGGTGTGGCCAAGTTTCCCACAGTCCCATAAAGTTTGTTTAAAGACAGCAGTCCTGGCTCTCAGTGTTCTGTGCTGTTATTTAGCTCTAATTTAACCCTAAATGTCCTCTACCAGCACAATAAGCAGTGGAAGTGTTGGCAATGCTGCTAGACAATATTGACCTCTTGTGGTCCAGAAAATTCTCACTTTTGGAACTGGTCAGGTCCCAAGAGTTCCGGTTTAGAGAGGTTCAACCTGTATTTGGTTTTTATCATTTTACAGTGCAAATATTTGTAATAAAAAATATTAAGTGAGCACTGTACACTTTGTATTCTGTGTTGTAATAGAAATCAATATATTTGAAAATGTAGAAAAAACATCCAAAATATTTAATACATTTCAATTGTTATTTTATTGTTTAACAGCACGATTAGTCACAATTAATTTTTTGAGTTAATTGTATGAGTTAACTGTGATTAATCAACAGCTGTACTTCCAACACATGAGTTCATTCTGTTAGTGCTTTTAGACAGTTTTTGGTGCACTGATTTGGAAGTTTGGATACTTGGCACTTAAAAGACTTTTTTTCTTACATTTCTTTATTTCACCAAGCCACCCTTTCCTTGAACCCTGAGGAACGTAAGAACCTTCAAGAAATGTCAGTTAGGCCAAAGGATTTCAATCATGAGTTCTCTTGTCCTTTACCTTGGAGTTGAGTAAAGCATGTGTAAATGTGAGGTGTGCTCTGGAAATGTTACCCAGAGCCATCAAGTTTTCTACGGAGCACACAAAATCATTCCTGTAGATAACCTTGAGAGACTCCCATGTGTCCATTGTGCAGTTAGCTCCAGGGGCTTGCTCTTTCTAGCAGAGCATTCTGAGACTTTGCTGGTCCCACTCCTGTTAACACATAATACTGCTTTCCCATAGGGCCAGCAGAGCTACTTCATCAGTAGTCTTGAAAATACACAAATAATTTGTTCAGTACTATACTAGTACAGAAATCTAATTATTTTGATGAGACACTTTCTCTACAAAAGTACTGAGTATAGGTGGCACAAAGAGAGAGACATTGACCCCTTTGACACATCTCTGCTATGGTCCTTGACACTGAGCAAATTGAAAGCAAAATCACCATATTCCCCCATCATCTCTGGTGCTGCATTTTTAGAATCTAGGTGGAAGGAGTGTGTTTTCAAAATCTTGGATGGAAGCTCCCTGTGAGACACAGAATGCAAGCACTTTCCCCTCACTCCCTAGCGTCTGGGGAATGGGATGAAAAGCTAGCCACGTCCCAGAGCGCATGGCTGCTGCCTCTGCTCCCCTCCCCTTCCAAAATGGCATCCTTGCTACTCTGATCTTTCAGGTTTGAAGCTGAGATTGGCTTGCATTTCATGCTGTTTGTTAGTTCTTCTTTTTAGAAATTCCTTGAGCTTCTTTTCATGAACAAGAATCTAGTGGTGATTTTTTTAAAAGAAAGGATAATTGCTCACCTGTAATTTTACTACTTTGAAGATATTATCTGATAGTATTCTTTTCCTCTCTTACATGCAACCCCTCCCTCCTCTCAGATTCTGGTGTATTTTCTGTTAACATGGTTTTTGGTTTGTTGTGTTAAATGGTGATTATTTTCTTTTTATTTTGTCAGTATTTTGATGGTACCATTTTTTTCTAACTTGGTTTGTGTTGGGAAGTTCTTGTTTCCCATTCAATTTAAGAATTCACCGGAAGGTTTTGGAGACTGTGAGTGTATCTAGACTACAGGCTTTTGTCGACAAAACTATACCTGCGTCTACACTACCGCTGCGTTCTGTCAGAACGCGGCAGTTTTGTCAACAGCGGTAAACCTCTTTTTACGAGGAAGAACGCCTTTGTCGACAGAGATCTGTTGACAAACGGTGGGTGTGGATTCAGAGAGCCAGTTCTGTTGACAAAAAGGGCCTCCAGGAAGAAGCCCTGATGGACAGTCTAGCCTTTACAGGTACAGCACCTCTGGGGTTCCTGGCCACAGCCTCTTAAAGACAAAGGCACGCAGACAGACCTTGCTGTCCCTGGCAGCTAGCCAGAGCACCCGTGACACCCATGTCCCAGCCTCAAGGCGCCCCTGGCCCTTCTCAGGACAGAGACAAGGACCCACCCAGGGCACCAAAAGGTGGACACCAGCCTGGTCAGGGCCAAAAATCAAAAACCTCCTAGAGCTCTGGTCTCAGGAAGAAGCCCTGCAGACACGCCACAGGAATGCAGACATCTAGGAGCACCTGGCCCAGGGACTGACCACCAAAGCACATCACCCCCGCACCATGGCACAAGTGAGCGCTAAGGTCAAAGAGCTGTGGAATGCTTGGGACAAGAGCTCCCGCTCTGGGGCAACCCCCGAGACTTGCCCTTACTACGAGGAGTTGGAGCAGATCCTGGGCTGTTGGGATGCCCAGACTCCACTGCGTGTGGTGGAGTCCTGATTACCCCACCACATTGTGGACCAACCCCTCATGAGGGATGAAGGCCAGGCTGGAGAGGCGGGAGAGTAGCACAAGGAGGAGGAAGAGGAGGCAGCAGGGACTCAGACCCCAGAGGCCTTCCAGGTGTCCGTGGACATTGGGGAGGGAACATCAGGTGAGTGCTTTGAGGGGTCACCACACACAGGCGTGTTGGCAGTGTGTGGGGCCAGCTAGCCCCATTGCCACTGTGGGGCCCCTGTGAGGCTTTCAGGCCACTGCCCAACTCACATGCGGTGTCACGTGTAACAGCCCTGAGTCTCCTGTCCAAAGGAGAGCCCCTGACAGCCACGGCATGCCCCCGGGACAGCAGGGGTGCACACAGACAATGATTGTCTCCTCTTTTCCTCCACAACTGGATCCTCTACCCAACAGGGGAGCACCACACCTGCCCCACCACCATCCCGGACCCATGGCACCTGCAGGCATTGGCCTGTGTACACGGACCTGCTGAGAGAGCACGTTATGGCCCTGCAGGACCTCAACAGGACCCTCCAGCAGAGGACGGAGGCAGAGGCCAAGTGGCGCACCAGGCTGCTAGACGAGCTGGCTCAGCAGCGCACTACCATCTGTGCCACAATGAGGGAGCTCTTTGCCTTGCCTGCCCCTGTCATGGGCACTGCTCCTCCTGCATGCCAGGCCCCTGCTCCTCCAGCTCCTCCAGCCCCTTCCTTCCCCCCCAGTTCCCCTTTCCTCCCCAGCCCCCGTCTGCTCCCCCGCCCTCACAGGCACAACAGCTGCCTCCCCCTCCCCCGCTCCTGCCCAGGCCAGGACTAGGTCTTACTCCACCCGATCCCAAGGCCATGGCGATGCCAGGACACAGGAAGCTGGCAGGACCCTGCGATCAGGGAAGCAGCAGCCTACTTGAGCTCTCTTCCCCTCTCCAGGTTTTCAGTCCCCAACCACCCCAGTTAAAGGTCATTTCAGTTGTATAACAAAATCTTTATTTTTGAGTGAAAGATTTACCTTTACACATTTGAACAGTACACAGAGAATTCTTCATCGAGTAGTGTCCCCGAGGGTGCTCTACTTGAGGTGAGTACACAGCAGTGGTCCAACGTGACATGAGTGCTTCGGACCTATCGCCTTCGGGCTGTAGACAAGAAATTATATGTGATTTTAAAACACTGAATTTTTACTTTATTTT